CTCCAAGGTTATTTCCTTTTTATTAATATTTATAATTTTATTTCTTTCATATTTCCTCATTCTCCATTTATCTTCCTATATCTTCTCTACTCTTGTCTCATTTTCCTACATTCCGCTTATTTTATTTCATTTTCCCTTATCTTAACTCAACAAATCACACATTATTTCATACCAGCTTAGCCTTTCACATCGAATCTTCTCTAAATTAATATATTTTTATCCCATTTCCTTCCTTTAGTCTTAACTCTTCTCATCTAATATCGTCGCACTTGTCTTATCTTATATTTTATTATCTCGGCTAATATATTTATATCTAATATCCTCATAAAAACTGATTTCATTAGCCTTGTCTTATCGCACCTCATTTCATCCCATGTCATGCTTCATGCCGCAAATAACACAATATTTTTGATAAATAAATAGTTCAGATTAAATATTTTAGAAAATATTAGTTTTGTTTACTTAGGCTAGATTAAGATCTAATTTGGCACTTATCTACTAAAGTAAAATGATCTACTTTAACCTAAATTTGCATTCAAGCATAGTTACTAAATTTCATCTACAAATTTCATCTGACGCATATATATCGAACCAGTTTAGTTATGCAGAGGTAGTTTTCAGGATGGATTCCTGTTTCGACCTAGCTTAGGCTTCATCAAAAAACTATGTAACGAGTCTAGTCCAGTTTGTAGTTTATTGTAAAAGCATGAAGAAATCTGCCTTATTGAGAGTCCAAATACCGTAAAAAAAGATTGGAAAGCTAAGACCTTCCTCCAGATACATGTTTGTACTGTGCCCCCAGAGAAATAGTGAAATAAGCCCCATTATTTATCAGACGAGTGCAGGTAAGATCGCATTTGCACTCCATTCCAGCCTGGATAAGAATATAATTTAGAAAGCTACTTTATATGAAATTTAATATAAGCATAAGGCCTATTAATATGATGCTGGAAAAATTCAAACATAATTCCCTATCAATAGTTTGCATGCAAAGCATAAAACTGTGTCTTTTTTAATTAGAATATTCAGAAGTATCTAACTTATAATAAAATTAATTTTATATTATTGAATAATCGTTAGAATTAATCATATTTTACTTTAATATCATTGCTATTATAACTACCACTGAAATATGATAAGATGTAGAAAAATAACCGTGTAATTTATATAAGAGATTTATTTTTTATTGTGTTTAAGCTTTCGATTAAAAACCGATTTCAAAATCTGAAAAGTTGTACAATGAAATATAGGCAACAATAGAATTCAGATTTAGAATATCAATTTAAAAGACATATATATATATGTTATCTCAATTGACAGATTTAATTATTTTTCAAATAAGTAGTTTTTAGGACGATCACTAATTTTACATAGGACTTTAACTCCCTTTCATATATCCAGAGTGTCTAAGCCTTTATTCAAGAAGTATCTATAGACTTATAAATTATATTATATCAGTAATAAGTAAGATCGTTTATTGTTAGGGGAAATTTTATTTCGTATGAAAGTGAATGAAGAAGAGATTCGTTGATCTATCTCACTAGATGAGGACGGATGAATCTCGTTGTACTGCAGATGTTTGGCTTTTATACTAGATTTATTTTGACGCCGTCTACAAGACTTATTTCCTCGTTTCGGTTAAAAATGTACTGAGCTTTTGTCCATCATATAATAGACATCATCAGAACTGGTTTTCACTATTGTAAGAGTCGCACGTTAACACTAAACCAAGAACAATATCTGGCTCTATCTTACTTCTTATATAGACTCAATTGAGCCAAATGAAAATTAAAAAACTAGATAGATCGATATGGAGTGGTTTGGCTAATTTCTTTCATACTGGTCCTGTTATTTTTGCTCGATTGTATGAGTATGTGTACGGTTCCTAAATCAGAGTTGTCAAAATTTTAATCTTATGTTTCGATCCTCAAGACCTAATGACCCAAAAGAAAGCCTTTACTGAGACAAGTATGGTAGCTTCCATTCTTATACTTATTAACCTATCCATGAGTGCCACATATTTTACCTTTGGTGGTAAATTATAGGAATTAACGCATAAATTAGCGATGGGATGTTGCATGTTTCTCATCTTAGCGTAAAATTATATTGCAAGATTCGAAGTACACTTCCTGCAAGTGGCAATACTAACACTCTAATTGTTGATTAGATAAATGTATGAATATTTTGTCATCTGGCCTCATGGTAAGGAAAATTTAGATAGTTTTCTACTTTCACTCAACCAGCGTGAAAGGAACATTAGTTTCACGATGGAAATAGAAGATAATAAGTCGTTACTTTTTCTGGAGGTTCTCATCATTAGAGAAGAGGGTAAGTTAAGAAGAGATGTTAATAGAAAACCAACTAATGCTGGCTCTTTGCTTAACTTTCGTTTTAGTCATAGTAACAAGACTAAGGTTGTAACTTAGAATTCAATTATTATTAAAAGTATGAGGCTAGAGGATAGCCAACATTTGGCTAAAAAGTTGTAACGGCTGATAAATATAGTCCTGAAAAATAATTATCCTTTTGACCTTATTAATAATAATATCTCTTTACCCAGCTCTGATGATGTTCATCATATGATGGACGAAAGCTCAGCACGTTTTTAACTGAAACGAGGGAAGAAGTCTTACGGACTGCGTCAAAATAAATATCGTATAAAGCCAAAAGGCTGCAGTACAACGACATTCATCCGTCCTCATCTGGTGAGATCGGCCAACGACTCTCTTCTTCATTCATTTTTATACGAACTGAAAGTCCCCCTAATAATGTAATTCAGTTATCATCATTCCATTTGCTAGATCATATTTATTCTCAATATTTCTATATGGTACTTTCCAACAAATATTTATTTAACTTTAATAAATTAAATATATATCGCTTTTTAAAAATTAACTATTTTATTTGGTAGCAAGGCAAATTAATTTGGTCTTTTTTAAAAATAGCTTTAACCTTGTTTGGATGGTCTTTTTGTTTTGAAACGCTAATTGTTATAGCAACCGCTTATCAATCCTATGGTGGTGTTAGCCCTCAAGAAGGGTGACCTTACCCATTTTCTTTACGAAGCATCATCCTCTATTCATATATCTTCTTTAGTTAGCGAAATATGCCAGATATATAATGGAAGGTTGAAGATTCTTAGAATTATCGATCATATATCCGAATTATCGGCTCATGGTTTATCTTTACCTCCAGAGATGCAGGTACTCTTTTTGGTGTTGTTATATTAAGGGCTTAACGGATGAACAAATATCAGAACTTAAACTTATAGACGAATGGGGCGAAAAGTGCATACCTTCCGGGGGCTTTATCTACAACAGAGACGATCTAGGAAGAAGAAATGGGAAAGGTAGGCTTCCTATGCTGCACTATCTATCATATCTGCAGCACCTAACAAAAACATGGTGGATGTTTTAAAACGAACACAAGATGAGGCCAAGTCACTCATCAGCATGGTTTAGTAAAATTAACTTGTTCACACGCATCATAGGACCTAGTAAAGAAAAGTAAACCTCTTAAGATGGTCGATATAAATGAAGCTATTATGATGCTCAATGGCGCACTTACGATTGTTTATCCAATGGGCCTCCCACCACATGAGCCAATTCGTATGGAGTTTGATAATATAGAAGATCTGAGCGGAACGCAGGTAATGTCAATTAAATTCAGTGCATTTTCTTACTCTGATTCAATATTTTGTTTGACTATTCTATGCTTTATATTAATAGGCAAGTATGGAAGTCATTCCTCCCAATGAGTGTACTTTATGGTTTTGCGGCAAAGAAATGCTCTCTGCGAAATGCCTATTCGATTATACGGGTAGAAACGAAAAAACCAGG